CTTTGACCAAAACATGCACCTGTGAACGGAAATGTCCTGCTACTTCCTGGTTATTACTGTCAAGCAAAACTGCAATGTAATGCAGTACTTAATAAGAACCTTACTAATAAATAATATTTAAAAAATGATAAAGCAAAAGGTAGAACACAAACAACCAGACAGTTTACTTCTCAAGCTTGCTGACTGGTGTGGCCTCTCGAGTCATTTCAAATAGGTTATCATTTTAATTAATTCAAATTAAATAACTGCAATACTTTAAATGTTTTATTGACCTGGTACTCCACTTCCATGCTGCCGTTCTTAGTGGCTGTTTGGAAAAAGCACTCGGTTGCTCCGGGAGGTAAAAGGAAAGTGAACTCGGTGTCCTTATTCTGTCCGAATGCGAATCCCAAATCCACGCTGAGCGTCAGAAAGAGCAGCAAACACACTAGGAGACGCGTCTCTTTACACCGCTCCATTACTTTGCTCTTCAGAAACACACTAGAGCAGCTGTTCCAAACAGCCCGTCTGCACTGCGAGCGGCGCGACAACAACGCTAGGACGCTATCATTGCCTTCTACGCTGCAAGAACATTGTTTGGACTCTTGTGAACTTGCGGTGACAATCAGCAGCGCTTGACGTTTGATAGCTTCGCTGATAATGAACGCGTAGTAGTTTTCCAGCGTCGCGTAAAACGCGCAAACAGCCTCATTGATTTGTCCACTGGGCTGCGACGTCGAGATTCAACGCGCGCCTGTGTCGTTGCGTCGCAGTGTGGGATACATTGCATGTTCTAATAATGTTATCATCATGGTGTTATAAGGTTCAGTTTTTCTGTTATAAGACACGTTTGTCTATTTGTATCGTACTCTATGAGAAGCTTGTAGAAGTAGTTAAATCTGGCCAAAGTTTTAGAGCGAGCATGCAATGTCGTAGTCTTTTTTTTTTTAAAGTTTTGCCCCCATATGCCTACAACAAAAATTGTTGTATAGGGCTTAGCTGCTGTACTAAAAACCTTTCTGCAACGCTCTGTGAATGGTATAATACTATAGTGTAACCAGAACCATGTTCTGTATGGGTATAATGCTGAACGTGCAATGTTTTGAAACAAATATTTATGGTTTTAAAACTAACAAACTTATAAAGAACCTTTCAACAAGTGGCTAAAATGAAAAGAAGAGTTCAGATGTAAAAGTCTCTAAAATTTTCATCTAAAATGAGCATTAATCAGGCTTTAGGTTCAGTAATTTTACTTGAATGGCAATGAATGTATAGGTCCTTTTCTATGCAATTAAAGTGAAATAACTGAACATAAATATAGGGAACTGATAAAAATGCTCATTTTAGAGGAAAATTTTAGACGGCGCTTAGAGGCTTTTGCATCTGAACTCTTCAAATATTGTTGCAATTTTTATTTAATTTCATACATCATGATCACCCCAGGAACTAATTTTGATGGTTATACAAATCCTGATATTATAGGCCATGCTTGCTTGGCTTTGGAGTGAATTGTGAAGTTTGTCAAAGAATGACAACACTGGACTTATTAAAGGGATAGTTCACTCAAAAATAGATTTTGTTTTTATCATTTACTCACCCTCATGTCGTTCCTCACTTATAAGACTTTTGTTCAAACACAAATGAAGATAATTGAACTATTCTCTCATCATTTTTGTCCATCCTTTGAAAGGCCACACAGCTAAAATTTTCATTTTTCTGAAGAGACACAATCACTTTATATGATGGCTTAAATTTCATCATCAAAATGTTTGCTTGACACACAAGAACCAGTAAGTGTTGCTCTTGCATGTCAAGTAAGAACGTTGAGCTGATATTCAAATTGTAATTATTTAAGGTTTTTAAGGGTTAGCTTATAATTTTTTTATGTATCTCTGAACAGAAGTGCTTGGTAAGACCCTGCTAGATAAATGTGTGTCAATACTACTGTAGTCTATCAAGGCCTTGATACGGTGAACAGACGGTCAGTCGTCGTTTAGCATCTGACAGCTCAGTTTTTGCTGTGTCTTCCACACCATCAGGCAGTCGGCAACATCATTTAAGTGCATCATTCAACAACATCAATAGCTGGATGTCTGGACTTCAGCATTGGTCCATCTTTAGCCATCTAAGTGACGTGTGGCTAAGTAGGGTGTCCCATTCCTGGAATGTATGCTCTGCATTTAACCCATTCAAGTGCGCGCACACACACACCATGAACACACTCGCAGTGGGCAGCCATTTTTGCTGTGGCACCCGGGGAGCAGTTGGGGGTTCGGTGCCTTGCTTAAGGGTCTCACCTCAGTCGTGGTATTCAAGGTGGTATTCATTCACTCCCGCCACCCACAATCCCTGTCAGGACCGAGACTCAAACTTGCAACCTTTGGTCTACAAGTCTGACTCTAATCATTAGGCCACAAATGGCAGATGCGAGTGTTTCGTATGGCATGTATTCTGCCAATCAATGTTCAGCCAATCAACTTCCTGCAGTGCGAACATGCCAAAAAGTGGGTACTTCCGCCAATAGTTATAGGAACGCTAAAAAAAAAAACTAAAGAGACTAAAGCAAGCAAACAAACAAGTCAAGAGTGCACAGATTTAATGATTTTAATGTTACAACTTCAGCTCACCTGAGCATTTACAATATGCAAATACTTTAATAACGACATGGACATTTGTAATGAAGAAACTGAAAACCATTTGAAATGATAAGGAAGCGATGATGTTTATGGTTTGTATAGCCACAGTCCTAGTTTCACTAAAGCCAATAGAAGGCAAGCCTGCAACCATTAGCCAAAAAAAGTGTAACGGCTAATGCCAACGGAAAGGAAACCAGAGGCCGTTTTTTTTTTTTTTGAATGGATGTCAATGGAGGAGAGGCTTCACTACGCTGAATAAACAGCTTTTAAAGGGTTAGTTCACCCAAAAATGAAAATTCTGTCATTAATTACTCACCCTCATGTTGTTCTAAACCCGTAAGACCTCTGTTCATCTTCAGAACACAAATTATGATATTTTTGATGAATTCTGAGAGCTCTCTGACCCTCCCATAGACAGCAATGTAGTTACCACAATCAAGGCCCAGAAACATAGCAAGGATCCATGTGACATCAGGGGTTCAACCGTAATTTTACGACGCTACGAGAATACGTTTTGAGCGCAAAAGAAAAAAAATAACGACTTTATTCAACATTTCGTCTCCTCCACGTCACCCTGGTGCCATTTTGGAGAATATCCATTGAACGTAAACAGCGTATGCTATTCTGTGTCAACTGCGCCACAAGGAGACGAATTGTTGAATAAAGTCGTTATTTTTGTTGTATTTGCATACAAAAATTATTCTCGTAGCTTTGTAAAATTACGGTTGAACCCCTGATGTCACATGGATAATTTTACCGATCTCCTTGCTATGTTTCTGGGCCTTGATCGTGGTAACTACATTGCTGTCTATGGGAGGGTCAGAGAGCTCTCAGAATTCATCAAAAATAACTTAATTTGTGTTCCGAAGATGAACGGAGGTCTTACGGGTTTAGAACGACATGAGGGTGAGTAACTAATTAATGACAGAATTTTCATTTTTGGGTGAACTATCCCTTTAAGAGGAAACGGCTTATCATTTATTGAATCGTCAGCATATCTGCTAATCTTCTATATGTTTTACACTAAGCAATACTTTTGGATTGAACTATTTTTAAGAGTTTACCACAAAAAAAAGCTGTTTTATAAGAGAAGTCACTGACTTTTTTGCGACAGGTGGGATTCAGTTTACGGCACTTCTCATTCATTCCTATGGTATCCGTAAACGCCGACTGAGTGTCGTGCAAGTCTGCCTGAAAGTCAGTGGCATCAAGGCTGTAATGTGATTGTTATGGCACATGTGATCCAAGTTAGCCGTTACGCTTTCTCCAATAGTAAGTAATACAGACCCTCTCATATCCCTATAGTAAGATAATCTCTGGCTTCAATTTTCCTCTTTAAATGACAAATACAGACTACTGCCCCCTATTGGTATGGAGAGTTATTTCCTCTCGCGCAGGCACAGAATGTACATTCTACGTAGTTGACCTTTGGATGTAGTCTTTGACGTGTGTTCAAGTGCAACTTTTTGGCCCAGACGCAGGTGACAACACATTCAGCTTTCATCACCACTAGCTCTTTGATATCAGTTTCATGTGTCACAAGCTAAGGCATGAAATCAAAAGTACATAAGGACTGAATGAATATTCTGAATGCGAGACAGCTCTCTCTCTCAGTCTGATTGCAGTTTTATTTTTGTCAGCTGAAATATACTTGTGGTTATTGTTCTAAATATAAGGATGAAAAAGAAAAAGACTACATCAGCCTGCATAGAGTATCACTACTCTATTGTGTTTTATTGCTCCAAAATGAACTTTCTGTCTTTTTCCTACAGCAAAGTTACTTAAAACTTTATTACAGCTAAAATTACTTCAAAAAGTGTGTGAGAGTATGTGTGTGTTGTGTAGAGTAGGGGAAGCTGTGGCTGAGAGCTGATGCACAGGAGAGAGGAAGGTGTGAAGGGGTGGGCCTGTTGCATGGCCATGAACATGCATTTATCTGCTTGTGTAGGCATTTGTGTGTTCCACGTCTTTTCTGATTCCCATTTAAGTAGATTCCACTTCCAACCCACTCAAATGGAATATGTCACGTTCTGAAAGACAAAAGATCTGACACTTTATCACTGATTACTTTTTTTTTCTCGTTTTGAAAACTAGAAAATTTGATTTAAATGTTGCACTTATTTCGTCCCACGTTTCTCAAACTTGTAGATTTGACTTTACCTGTCACTTGAAATAATTTAACAGGAGATTTTGAGAGTGGTCTGACTTTTTTTTTGGCCCCACTGGAGTGTGCTTTCTCTCACCGTCCGCCCACCTGTGGGCTTTATGAGTGATGGTTATCTTTCACTCTCACTGTGGTCTTGCTCTCACTGCGTTGCAGTGGGTCTTCTTGCACCTCTCTGGATGTGCAGTTGTCATCTCTGAAGTGGCCAGAGACGGTGTGTGTGCACATGGCTCCGGGTAAAGTATTGTATCCTTCAGTATTCGTGGTGGACAGTAAAATGAAGCCCCCTCCGCTGCCCCCCAAGCCGGGCCGTAGACAGCGGAAGGATGCGATCCAGACTCTACTGGTGATCCTGGTTTGTGTGGCACTGTGTGGCATGGCTGTGGAGGCCTGTTTCATCTACCATCTGTTCACATCAAAAGAAAACTCTGTAAGTACCATTTGGTCCAACTTTCTGAAGCATCACCGTCTTGTGTACTTTCATTCGGCATTGTACTTTCACTCACACTATCAGTTCATCTAATCTCAGTTCATCTTTTGTTCATCAGTTCTTCTTTCAAGTTCTCTTCTTTCCTGTCTTCTGTTTCTCTTTTACATGAAGAATGTACAGTAGATTATGTTATTTGGTTGTTGACCTCATCGTGGTTTATCACTTTTAGCTACTTTCAGTTATCTGAATCAATAAGATACAAATGACTATAATTGAACTATAACTGTGTAAATATATATTTATTTTTAAATATATATTTCTGCTGCTCTTTTGAACTTTCTATTCATCAAAGAATGCTAAAAAGAAGTATCAGTTTTCACAAAAATAAGCAGCAACTGTTTTCAATGTTGATAATAATGAGAAATGTTTCTTGAGCAGCAAATCAGTATATTAGAATGATTTCTGAAGGATTATGTGACTCTGAAGACTAGAGTAATGATGCTGAAAATTCAGCTTTGCATCACAGGAATAACTTGCATTTCAAAATATATTGAAATAGAAAACATTTCTTTTACATTTCAAGAATATTACTTTTTTTATCAAATAAATGCAGCTTAGAAAGCATAGTGAATAATTATTTTTAAAATTAGACTACATTTACTCCAAACATACATACATTTACACACAGACACACACACACACATATACAGACATATGCTGTCATTATGGGAAGTAAACATCCTCCAAATACTACGAAATTACACAATTCATTAATGATGTTCATATTTCGAAACTTTTCACTTAAATTGCAAAACAAAAGAATTTCACTAATTTATCCGTGAAAATAGATTGTATGTAGATTAAGATGTTTCCGTCAGGCTCCTCCCTTTACATGAAACTTGCAGAAATGTAGCTGGACAGCTGGTGCTCAAACCACATGGCGTGCTGTGGTTACCTGACCTAGACCTAGACCTAACAAATGCAGTTATGGGAAAATGGGTCTTAACCAACCTGCAACAGGTTTATCTGATATGACATATTAGTGTGACACAAATTAAGCTATGTGGGCGAAACACAACTGAATGCCAAGTCTTGTTATTTAAAATACAAATAGTCATGCTAACGCTTTTTTTATTAAATTTTTTGCTTTGCGTATTAGGAGTGTAGCTTGATAATTTTACGTTACTGTTTTTCATGTTTTTATTGTACACATGCAACCAAGCGAACATAATGGTTGCTCTTTATAATTTCCTCGCTTGCTTTGACACAATCTGTATTGTATAAAGCACTATATAAATAAAGGTGACTTGACTTGCACTGAAGTAGTACTGAAGTAGTGACAGATCTTTTCTTCCGTATTGTGACGTAAACCTAAATTAGATGGATTATTGGAAAAGAAAAGAGGGTGGAGACTTGGTTCTATGAGTCGGTTGTTTGTTGAATGTTATGGTGCGTTCAAGTCATGTCGGATAGATCGTATTTACGAGTTAAACGCACATGAACACCACCACAAAGTCGTTATTACGAGTGGGAAACTCGAAATTTTCTTTAAGCCCTGAGTTTCCGAGTTGGGGGCGGGTCAATGAGAAACATGGCGGAAACGATGGATGCAACGTCTGTAGTTGATGGTAAATTGTTGTTTAAATTGATAGTTTAGTTGTCCTATAAACTTAAATTGGTCATGTTCTTGTTACGCAGCTAGTTAATGAAATCCAAGTAAAAAAATGCTATCATTTTTTCACCTATAGGTGAAAATTTTTTTGATTTGCCATGTTGCATGTTGCATTAAGCTAACAGCTTTTTTTAATCTCTGTATTTTAGCGTTTGTGGATGCTGAAAATCAGTTATACTGTCACCCTGGTCTAAAAAAAATATTAAAAACGCAAAACACACCTGATGCGAATTCTTTGCTCTTCATTTTCGATAAGCAGAGTTAACAGACCCTGTTGTATTTTCTTGTAATTTATTAAAAGAAGGTACACCGCCATCTTGTGCCGACTAAACTGACTTGAACGCACCTGACGTCCTAATTACGACTTGTCAACTCGTAAGTACGAACGTCCCAGGAGGACTTGAACGCAGCATTAGACGTGGCACTCAAGGCAGATGAATGCGAGCTTGAAATGATGATGATGAAATTATGTTTTTTTACATTAACTAAAGTGCAGGAATTTGCCACAATTGATGCAACAGCAGCCCATGATACATCATTGTAGTATCTCTGATGTGGTAAACCTCAAAAGGTTTTTGCAGACTCTTGGCGTTTGAACAATCAATATGAAAGATTCATAAATGTAAGATTCTTCTTTTCAATCTTCCGCAGACATCTCCAGGTGAACCACAGATTGGCATGAGAAAACAAGGTAAAGATCACTCAGCTAGTCTGAAGTGCCACAAGTTTACTTTGATGCATTGCACCTTTTATTCTAGGTAAACATGGCATATGAACAATACTAGATATTGCACTTAAACCTATGATCATTTCTTTCTTTCTTTTTGGAATATCACAGGGAAAGACCATGCTGTAACCCCCAAACAAAAACCGCTTGGAGAAATGAAGCCATCAAAACCAATGGCACAACTGACAAGTAAGTTTACAGCTGATTTATTTTTTTTAGATGTCTACACTCTAATAAAATGCTGGGTGAAATACAACCCAGTGCTGGGTAAAATAGGGACAAACCCAGCAATTGGGTTGTTTTGACCCAGTGGTTGGGCTACTACCTGGAAGGTTGGGTTAAACATTTAACCCAACCGCTGGGTCAAAACAGCCCAATTGCTGGGTTTGTCCCTATTTAACCCAGCATTTTTTAGAGTGTAGTTTATTTGTCATCAATCACAATCAGTGACTAGCAATCCAATGTTTATTCACTGTTAATACTTCCCAAGTCAGCAGAACTGAATTATTACAAATAGAAGTATGGGAATTATTCAGTCACCAAAAGTCTGCATGTATGCTGAGCACCTGTTAGCGGGTCTTACTTCACTATCCACTGTATTTTAATGACAAAATGTACACATGGGATCACGAAAGAGCAAATTCATTCAAGAGTGTCGAAACATTTGAGAGCTAATGTATATGACGCTCTTGCTGTCCTCTCCTTTAGCTGGTCAGGTACCTGTAAATGGAGTCGTGCTGTGGCATGAGACTCATCAATCCATTCTTCACCATGTCAAACACAAGGCAAATGAGGGCAAACTCATCATAGAGAAAGAAGGATATTATTCCGTCTACTCTAAGATCAACTTCAAGGAGGACAGCATCGTATTCAGCCACTCTGTACTCTGGGAAACGCTTCGATACGTAGGAAAGGAGATTTTGCTTCTCCAGTCATCTAGGTTACATCCTAAACTCCCGAGGTTGAGAACCATAGACAACAGCTACCTAAGCGGGGTGTTTCATCTGTACAAAGGTGATGCTGTCTTTGTCAGGGTGAAAAACTGTACACTTGTGTTGTCCAATGCTGCTGAGAACTACTTTGGTGTGTTCATGGTTTAAATGGATTCTGCAGTCAGACTGTTACCATTCGACTGATGTGCAAGATCTGATGGAAGACTAAACTGTTAATAATAACTATACTTAGTTTCCCTTTAAAACTGTACCTTTCAAGTAATTTTTCTAACTGAAAACAAGCTAGACACTTGAATCTGAAGGAATCAAACTTTTTCTTGTTCTTTTAAGATAAGAAGTTCATTGTATAGGATAGATAGGACAGGATATTTTTTCTTTATATATATATATGTATATATATATATATATATATATATATACAGTATATATACCTTGTAATGTTTCTGCCTCTTTCTACTTGTTGTTTCTTTGTGAGTTATTTGTGAAATTTACTTACTAGTTTCTATATATATACAGTATATATATATATATATATATATATATATATATATATACACACGGTATACTATAGTGCTGTCAAATGATTAATCGCATCCAAAATAGAAGTTTTTGTTTACATAATATGTGTGTGTACTGTGTATATTTATTATGTATAAGTACATACACATACAGTATATATTTTGAAAATATGTACATGTATTTACATGTACATACTTACATTCATATAATTTAAATTATATATAAATATATTTAATATATAAACATATTTTTTCTGAAATATATACACGCATGTGTGTGTATTTATTTTGGATGTGATTAATCGCAATTAATCGTTTGACAGCACTAATATATATACATATATATGTATATATAAAACATCCTTGATGTTTATTTTAATTTGATCTTTACAGTTTGTGTGGCATATTTAGCATAAATAGTTTTGTGAGCAACAAGTGTCTGAAATAAAAAATTATAATAACTGTTCTGGGAGATGAACATGAATGTTTCATTGCACCTTTAATTTGCTCAAGATATAAAATAATACTGCTGCGATATTTTGCAGTTCCTTTTGTATGTTGCTTTGCACATCTTAACTTACTTTTTTATTATTATTCTTATATTTAATTAAATGATATGTATTTTTGAAGATATTTCTCACATACAGTGGGGACCAAAAGATTTTTTTTTTTTTTTTTAATATATATATATATATATGCAATTAAACGGAAGCATTGAGAGAGTTGAAGTGTGTAATGATGATAGTAAACACTTGCTCAGTTTGTTTGAACATCCTGATACAGCAACATTGACTCCCACTCAAACATGTGATTGCAAAATAAAAGCACAAAAATGCAATACAATACAGATTGTGGTTCAGACTTTTGGATATATGTCACATTAGGTATAGGAGTTCATGTATCTGGATCTGCACAGGGGCAGTCATTTATTTGACTGATCATTATCTTTTTGCATCAGCTGCATAAAACTTTATTTCAAGTTTTTGAAATGAATGTTTACTGTCTACATTTCCTACTCAAAATAAAGCTACGACAAACCACAGTCTGCTCGTCATTATGTGCTGTTAGATAATAAGCATTGTGTTGATTAGTCACTTGCATGCAGATCCGCAATGCTGTGGTTTGACCTTTTCCTGCTCGTCCACTACAGTGTCACTTAAACCTTGCTTTACGAGCAATTTTTTTAAATTCATAATGCAAATGTTTTTTCTGACTCATCTTATCCTTTGATCTCCTCGGTGCGGAGAGACTTGAGTCATATGTCTTTTGAGATGTAACCTGTTCATATCTGTCAGATGACACCAGCGAGCCGCAGCAACCGACATTTCAAGAACTTCAGTGAAATGAGTTTGGAGAAACGCTCGGGTGTGCACACAGCTGCGTTTATCACTTGAATCAGTTTTATTTTATCTTATTCTAAGAAGCTTTTTTTTGTGGACGCCCACGCTGCTGTGTATTCTTAGCAGAGCTAGTAAACTGCAGAGGAAATGGGGGTGGGGGACGCTACCCGTGGACACAGGTACGAGTTTGGCTGTTTCGCTGACTCAGATCTGTCTATCTGAAGACTGAAGCTTCTCTAACAAGCTTGATGGAAGATTCCAACCAACACAGCAGCAGTAGCAGTAGCAGCAGCATATGATGTACACAATTTAGACAAAGTGAATTGGTAGATCCAAACTTTTCATGACATTATCACTTTCAGAAAAGAGTTTGGTGGTTTTGCGTAGTCAGATGATATTTGATATTGTGATGTCAGAAACGGCTTTGAGTGGACTGGTTCTGAATGGGAAGGTCTTCTTGCGTGTGCGTTCGTACATCCATAGACTTTTCTTGTGTTGGTGTGTGCATATGTGTTGTGTATAGTTCCTTTGTGGGTGTATGTGATCCAGTGTATGTGCACATTAGCATATTTAGCCTTTCTTCTGTTTTGGTAGGGTGAAACCAAAAGTTATTTGACTGGATTTTCCTGCCCTTTCAATTTCCACTACATATAGTATCTGTAAAAGGTGTGATTTTGCTTTACATAGACTGACGATTAAGATCAGAAGTGTTGCTAACAAGGATGGTGTTAATGAAAAAAAAAAGTTTTGCAAATTAAAAATAAAACACAATGACGACTAAAATTCAAATTTCGTATCAAGTTACTAAACTTATTCACCATACAAAAACAACAACAACTGAGTTTCTTAAGGGAATAGGTCATCTCGGTCACTATTTGCTCCACAATCATCATCGTAAAAGCAGACTTCGCATGATCTTTGTGTGAGGAACAGAATTCAATTGAAGTCATTACTCACTCATTGTTGACTGAATTCAGATTCAAAAACAGGACCTTAAAACGTGACATGCTGGCTTTGCAGAGATCATTGAGACCAACATGCCATCTGTTCTCGTGTGAATGTCATATGCCAGTTTCAAAATGTGCAATAGAATTGAGAGCTGCAGCGAATGGGAAGATCTGATTCATAATATAAATTTCAGTTTACTGATCACGCAAAGCTATTATAAGATATTTTTAGAAGATACAGACAACAGCATATTGGGTTGAAACAACAATAAGTACAGAATTTAGAGTAAATAATCAATTAAAATATTTATTTACAAAAAAAAAAGTTAACAGTTTAACACAAAGGAGCTTAATCTGAGTGCGAAAGAAATTAAAAGGGTGAATTTAGGCCTTTCGACAAACCGGAAATTTTGGTTACACTTTACTTGAAGGGGTGTGCATAAGACTGACATGACACCTTCATAATCATGACATGACACCTACATAATCATGACATGACACATGTCATGAATATGAAGGTTTTGTATGCATGTTTATGACAACTGTCATTAAGTGTCATTCGCTCAGTTATGTCATTTTTAATGCAAAGATGACATTGTTTGAGATGTCTCTGTTATGGGCTATGATTAGGGGTAAGGGTAGGGGTAGGGTTAGGTCAAATAATGTCATATTTGCATTAAAAATGACATAACTGAGCGAATGACACTTAATGACAGTTGTCATAAACATGCATAAAACCTCCTTCATATTCATGACATGTGTCATGTCATGATTATGAAGGTGTCATGTCAGTCTTATGCACACCCCTTCAAGTAAAGTGTTACCGAAATTTTTACTTTTGTCATTTTATAGTGCTGTCAAACGATTAATCGCATCCAAAATAAAAGTTTTTGTTTACATAATAGACCTATATGTGTGTGTGCTGTGTATATTTATTATGTATGTATAAATACGTTTATATATTAAATATTTGTATATTATATAAAATATAAAAATGTAAATATATATGTAAATACATATATTTTCAAAATATATACTGTATGTGTGTATATTTATATATTCATAATAAACACAGAAGAAACACATATATTATGCAAACAAAAACTATTTGACAGCGCTGTCATTTTATAAAATTTTTTTTTTAAACGGATGGTCCATTGCTGCGTTCCAAATGGGATAAATCCACCTCCAAAGGATACTTTGAAGCAAGAACAATTGTGGCCGCTTTATTGAACGGTCGACCCATAACAAGTGCTGAAACCTGGGGCAAGTTCAAGCTCAAACCGGTGTGCACCGTTTTGCTACGGTTTCCGGTTTGAACGACATGTTTCCTGGAAATGGTGTGCAATGGGGTTTGAGATACGTTTTCTCTTGTTTGGTGGGTGTGTCAAACATGTCAGCCCAATCAGCAGCAACATGTATATAAACCACGCCGTATTAAAGAGACAGCTCGCACAATGTAACTAACATCCAAATAAATTCACAAGAGCAAGAATATTGTTTAATACTATATTAAAATACTATGCATATTTATATATTTTGCTATTGTATTATGGAGTGACACTTTCATAAACTTTTCTATACTCCTCTGATTATATAATGGTAAATATTACAATATCATAGCACAACAACAGCAATCAGCAATAATGATAAGCCTAATACTCACAATAAAAATAATAAGGTCATATAGATCATAACACAGTCTCGGAGGTAAGAAGTTGATTATCCTTCACCTGAAATGCGAGGCGAATGTTGGATCACAATAATTAGGAACCACAGTTTCCACAAATCCCTTCATTTGATTGGGATGTTCTCTTTTATTGTGGAGGGCAAGGGCAGTGACTGTAACATCAAGCGTATTTTACAGTATTAAACACGTATTTATATCGATTTCATCAGGCTCCGAAAATTCTTCAAAAAGAACACAAAGAATGGCCTTCTCAGCTGCCATAGTTGTAACTCTTGCGTCATCAGAACAGAGTGTTCAACGCACCAACGTTTCCGTTTAAAAAACGTTTTGCACCGTTTTTGTCAGGGCTGAACGCAGCCCTGGCTTCTACAAAAACAGGCCCGTCAGAAGTCAAGTCAAGTCACCTCTATTTATACACTGCTTTATACGACACAAATTGTCAAGAGTCAAACAGGAAAATAGTGTCGATAGTGGACAATAGTAAACACTCAATTTTTCAGTTAAAGTCATTTAATCACTAATTCAGTGATGTCATCGTCCAGCTCAGTTCAGTTCAAATAGTATCTGTGCAATCAAGTCCACAATTGCCATAAATTAAGTGACCCCAACTAAGCAAGCCAAAGGCGACAGCGGCAAGGAACCAAAACTCCAA